GGGCCAGTTATCCGGCAGAAGTCCTAAGGCTTTGCATCCGCTCTTGCTCAAGAGAGGGGCGTTCAGGTGCTTGCAGACTCCAACGGTAGTACTGTATGTTTCCCGTTGAGATGCAGTGCCGCGACGTTCTTCGGGTTGAGTGCTGATCGGGTCTGCTCATCCAGTAACAGGAATTCTGATTCTGGGATTAGATCCAGATCTGACCCCGGGTCCGCCAGCCAACGGATTTGGTGTAACTTATGGTTGATATCGGTCGGAATGGTTATGAGTTCGTTGCGTACTCCAGCTGCAACAACTGTGTTTGAGGGTCCTGGTTGGGACTGATTGTTTCTGGTTGCAGGTGGCGGGATATTAGGTTTGGTTGTGGGTTTCCATTTCAGTTGTCGGCAAACCCTTCCGTAATGCCCGGTGATGCCGCATTTGTTACACTCTATGTCTTTTGCTGGGCACTGGTCACGGCGGTGTCTTGGGTTAGCCCCACATCCGGAGCAGGGGTCGTTAGGATCATAGGGTTTCTGAAAGAAACGGTTGGCCTTAGGTGAGGTTTCAGACGAGCTGGCTTGTTGATGCTTGTAGGTTGATGGTGCACGTCTGGTTGCAATGAAGGCTTCGGGGGAGGTGGTTGGGGAGGGTGAAAGAGTCGCGCCCACGGCGGTAGCACTCTCATGTGCGAGGCAAATTGAGAGGACTCGGTCCAGGGAGAGGTCGGAATTGTACTGCTCCGCCAGTACTTTTCGTTGGAGGTCTTTATCAAACAGGCCACATATTAACCTGTCACGGATACGGAGTTGCTGTTGATAACCAGCAAGGGCAAACGTTTTCCCACAAGCTCTTTTTGTGCATATTGTAATACACGGGTCGCCGCATGTGCTGCACTTAAAATCCAGCTCATGTGCACACGAGTCATCAAGAGCTTTAAGGACTGCGAAGTAGCGATCCACCGATTCTCCGGTTTGTTGGTCCCTACGATGAAAATCTTGCCGATCAAGGAGGGGGTTTCGCTTCTTGCGTAGGTAGGCCTCGAGAGCATTCACGGCATCATCGAGGGTGGTGGTGGTAGAAATATGAAGGCGGCCTGATTGCCAAAGGATGGTCCATTCGGAATGGAGGGCGGCACGCAAAGTCACTTGCTGTGTGGATAGCGGGAAGGTGGCTACTTGTTGGGCGTCCACGTAGTCGTTCCAACGTTGTTTCCAATCGCGGAAACAAGACATCGTTAACTCCTCCGGGGAAGCCAGTTTAGGAAGCTGGATGATTTTTGTGGCGTGGTGAGGAGGAGCTCCTAATGGGACTGTCGGTGTCGGATTCCGAGTAGCCATCTGCGGCAACAGTGCGGCTATGGACCTGAGGATGTCGGTGCTGGTCGGCGAGGCAGGGTTCTCTGGAGGGGTTTGGGATGGTCGGCGATTCCTTCTTGAGGGCATCTTGATTACTAATTGTCACTGAGCTGTCACTTAAAAAACGGCTATAATTAACCGAATTTCGACTGCGCCATGTTCTACCGCGTTAGGGTAAAGGTTCGAGCTGCAGTGAGAACTATCAATTAATAATTTATATTTTAATAAGTGTCCAAAAATTACATACAATTATAAGAGGCAGGTGGAGTACAGTTTTTACTCCACCAGCGCCTAGAGTATTATATAATAGATGGAACCGCCGTAGGTTGTAGCGACGGGCGGTAAACAAGCCGGCGATATCAGGCGGTGTTCGAAAGCGTCGCCCGCTGGCTGCCTCTTATCTCAATGATAGTATAATTACATGTACAATTTTGCATCGAGCAATAATGCTTTTTCGCAAGAAATTCTTACAAGGCTAGTTATACACAAATTAAGAGCTATTAAAACTCAACAAATGTCTCGGCATACTTTCCGTAGTCTCCGCTGAATGGTCCCAGCGTCCCAAAGGTCCTCTGAGGGACAATGGTCTAACTAGGCGTGTATAAAATCCTTCTAACATAGAAAGTTAAAGAGAGGAGGTGAATTTTTCAAATTCGCTTCAAAAGATGAAGGAGCAAGAAAGTGTATTTGTATGGCGAATAGCCATTTGGTATATCAGCCTGCCTCTATATGATTCCATCCCCTGCTGTCCGTGTGTAGATTGAAAACTATCATAAATTGACCCAAAACAGAGATAGATTTGCTCACTTGGCTCAGCTTGCGACGGTAACTTTCTCCAGGGACGGGCAGGCTATATTTCCGCAATGACCGCATGGCAGGGGGCGCCAGACTCGCCCTCCTAGGGGGCAGTCTCACAGGGGCCTCCATTGTGGCCACACCCTGTACAGCCACGTAAGTTAATACAGTGCAGTCTAGTATGTCAATTGTAAAACTACTTTCGCGCATCTTTTCTTTACAATTAAAATAACTATATACTGTCCCCCCTTACAGCAAATAAAAAATATTTGGGAGGGCCGGTCCCATCAGTGTTAAACCCTCCTAGCGGTTTCAACATTTAATATCCACTAGAAATTCCTTTCTATAATTGCATTTGGTTGAATTACTTATATCACCGTAACTTAGAAAATTCTTTGTGAATATATTAAAGAAAATTATGGATATAAACCGAAAATGTCTCTCCGCAGACAATCGCTACAAAAGTATCTTACTTAAAATATAAATGTACTAAAACATTATCATGACCTGGTATTACTTGTATAGACATGTGGCGTACTTAAAGTACAAACAGTCACAACCCTCTATCCACCATAGCTATCATGGCCTGGTTCTGTGTAGACATGTGGTGTACTTACAGTACATGACTCAAATATCTTGGCTTAATTTAGAGAACACTGTAGATTTGTAATAACACATAGAAACTTACATTGAACATAATTTCTCAACCTACTGGAGATATTTTATAGCACTATATTGGAAAACCACTCCTCATATTCTAATTTCTCAAAATTTTGGAAAAGAAGGGGAGTGGAATGTATTAGCTAATAAACCTAGCAGATTTAAATAAAGGTTCGCATTGTAGCAGGTATATTCAGTATTTCGCAATAAATCCTCGCAAATATTCCGATAGAAAATAACGTTAGAAGTTTAACTTTCTAGAATACAAGTTCTTCTTGTTGAAAGAAAAATGCTTATTTAGACGAGCACGCAGTACTACATGATGGGAAAAATATGATAGGAAATTCAATAAAGAGAGATAAAGAGTACAGAAAAGTCAGTTTTTTCATTGAGATTTAGCGTTCAGCTGATCTTCCTAGTAAACACACTTCCCTAACCGTTATTTGTGTTTTTGGGAATTCTCGTTTGAAAAATCGATATTTTAAAGAAAACTAAACCATATCCATAACGTATAGGTATTCGAGGAAAATTAATTCTCTAAATCTCTAATAAAATTAGAAAATGTATCGCTCTGCCTGAAAACAATTGTATTTATTAATCATTCGATTACGTATGATGTCTTTGATAATTAAATTATATTTTCTCTCTATTTTTATTCTTAGAAGAATATATATTAAGCTATTTAATCAAAAGATACTTATCTTTACGTTCTATTTGAAGGGGGCATTTTAGGCTAGTAAGTTTTATATTATTAGAAAAAGAGTATATATATATATATGTCATAATATTCGGAAATGTATAAATAAAATGGCCTGTGTGGGAGTACAAGGAAAGAGGGAAGATAGCCGGGCTAAATAACAACCCCCTTGGTAAACAAGTGTCAAGGCTTCATTCTCCCCTAAGGGATTTATCTTACTCAAATCGCTTAAAAATCGGCTGGATGTGATAAGAAAGGTCAGTTTTCACCGAGGTGGTCTCAACGCCAGTTGTTCTAGGAGTTGTTCTCGGACCTGTTATCTTTCCTCCCCGATCTATTTCCTCACGGATTTTTGCCTCTGGATCCTGTCTCCTGTGTGTCCTTACCACCCATCACTCAACCTCCACGACTGCTTCTAACCAACATGCTACACTACAGTCATCCAACAGCATAAACTAAATTACTACATATACAAAATCAGAGGAAGTATATTTTGAACAAAATTTAAAAAAAAATTGTAAAAACTATTAAAGTAATAAAGTGTACATCTTCTCTATTTAAAATACAATATAACGCGGCTGATGATTGTAAAACGAAAATTGCAATTATACCGCGAATGTTTTTTTAAACCAAAATCGAATTTTTTTTTTAAAGAGAAATAACGACTATTTCTAACTTTAAGGATGAAGTATGAAAGGGTGAAAATATGAAGAGTAATGGCGAACGGAAAAATAAAAGTGTCCAGGGGCGGGAATCGAACCCACGACCTTCCGCTTACCGGGCAGATGCCATGTCCACTAGGCTACCCTGGACATATTTTTCCGTTTGTAAATATTATATAAAGTAATTTAAAATACAATATAACGCGGCTGATGATTGTAAAACGAAAATTGCAATTATACCGCGAATGTTTCTTTTAAACAAAAATCGAAATTTTATTTTAAAGAGAAATAACGACTATTTCTAACTTTAAGGATGAAGTATGAAAGGGTGAAAATATGAAGAGTAATGGCGAACGGAAAAATAAAAGTGTCCAGGGGCGGGAATCGAACCCACGACCTTCCGCTTACCGGGCAGATGCCATGTCCACTAGGCTACCCTGGACATATTTTTCCGTTCGTAAATATTATATAAAGTAATTTAAAATACAATATAACGCGGCTGATGTTTGTAAAACGAAAATTGCAATTATACCGCGAATGTTTTTTTAAACAAAAATCGAAATTTTATTTTAAAGAGAAATAACGACTATCTCTAACTTTAAGGATGAAGTATGAAAGGGTGAAAATATGAAGAGTAATGGCGAACGGAAAAATAAAAGTGTCCAGGGGCGGGAATCGAACCCACGACCTTCCGCTTACCGGGCAGATGCCATGTCCACTAGGCTACCCTGGACATATTATTCCGTTCGTAAATATTATATAAAGTAATTTAAAATACAATATAATCATCAGCCGCGTTATATTGTATTTTAAATTACTTTATATAATATTTACGAACGGAAAAATATGTCCAGGGTAGCCTAGTGGACATAGCATCTGCCCGGTAAGCGGAAGGTCGTGGGTTCGATTCCCGCCCCTGGACACTTTTATTTTTCCGTTCGCCATTACTCTTCATATTTTCACCCTTTCATACTTCATCCTTAAAATAGAAATAGTCGTTATTTCTCTTTAAAATAAAATTTCGATTTTTGTTTAAAAGAAACATTCGCGGTATAATTGCAATTTTCGTTTTACATCTTCTCTATGTTTATTTCAATTTCTTTTTTTTTTCAGGTAGTGAAGGCGATAGGCTACATCAACTGCACTTAGTTAATCTTGAAAAGAGATAAGTATGAAGGTCTATCTCCACACACAAGAAGACCAGATGTGGATTTATCAGCAGATGACTTGTTTCCACGGGGCCTCTTCGTTTATCAGATCGTATAGGCAAGTTTGAACCTGTCACGCTGAAATTCTATTTAACCTTTTTTTATTTATTTACATAATAAGAGTGATAAAGGGCATTTCCCGATTATTTAACTGAATATCGCTGACGGCACAAGCACTTTTTCGAATAAATATAAATCAAACGTCGAATATTTTTGGGAAATTGAACAGAATTCCGATAGATGGCGCTCAGCTATAAGTTGCATAATCATGAAATGTTCTTTCACTATGTTATTAACCTAATCTTTCTCTACTATAAATTTTACCTATTTTTTGAAACGTCTACTATAATTAACGCCCCTTAGTGTTTATATCTACATTTATATTATATCTACAATGCGAAATTTTTATAAAATTTTAAAATAATAAAATTATTAAATGTTAGTATTTTTCCGATAGGTCGCAGTGGGTCATCAGAAGAATTCAGTTGCTTGCGAATATCAGGCTTTCTCGTTCATTAAATTAAAACCCTGATCCACCTAACAACAACAACAAAAGCCTTTATTTAGGGCATTCCGCCCCACACAGGATTCGCCGTATTTACACATCAACAAGAGGAGAGGGAAGAGGAAACATTTACAACAAAATAAAGTTTGTCTCACATTCAGTTACCTATTTACAGATAGGTCATCGTCCAGTATCATTTGCCCTGCATTCTTTCTCATGCGCCCAGCTTCTGTGCAGAACTAAAAGTATCTAACAATTAGTAATTCATCATCCAGAGCTGAAGAGAGGAGTTGACATATGTGATGGTATCTAAATTGACCAAAGTTAGGGCTTGGGAAAATTTCAGTACGTTTTTCTGTTAAGAGAGGGCATTGGAAGAAATAGTGAACCAAATTATCATCCATGAGATCCTTACAAAGTAAACAGTTCCGGCCATTTTCTTTCCAGAAGTATTTTCTTTCTTCCCTGAAAAATTGCCATAAAACTCTATGTTGTGCAACTAGTCTTTTGTTGGGAAGCGAGATATTTAATCGTAGGTACTCCTCTGTCATGAATGATTCACTCAAAAATTTGTAGCGAGCAAAGTGGGTTGAATCAATGATTTTCATCTGATCATTTTGAATTAGTTGGTCTGTGGTGGTTCTAATTATGCCTGGCAGTTCTTTCTGTATGGCTAAGTAGTCTTCGCAGCCCTTAAAAAAAGGAATATCCCTTAGAGTCAAGAATTTTTATTAAATTTTGAGTAAAACTGTTTTCTATTTCCTTTTTCGCGGTGACTTTCCAGAGATAGTTTAAGCAAGCATGTGGTAATCTGCTCGTCTCCATTTTTTAAATCCTAACCCAAACTTTAATGTGAGTTTTACAGCATTAAGTTCAGTTGATATTCTTCCACATTCTCTTCTGAGGATATATCCTGGTGTGAAGTTTGGTAAGTCTAAGAGACGACGAAGAAATGCATCTTGGGTATTATTGACTGTCTTCAGCTGGTTAATTGCCCACATTGGTGCCGCATATAGTAACGTAGGAAGAACAACAGTGTCAAGAAGTTTCATCACTGAGGTAAAGGACTTTATTCGCGCCTTTGTAAGGATTCTCCAAAGTGCATTAATTGCATCCAGTGCTTTGTTTCTAAAGTATTGGGAAGCATATTGGGTCGAAATTCTTGTAGTCAGAGGGTAACCCAGATATGTATACTTAGCTACTATTGTCAGAGGTTGCTGACCCCAAAACCATATCTCCGAACGAGCTGTCCTTCCACCGTTTCTAAGCACCATTATTTTAGATTTATTTTGGTTTAATGTTAGGCAGTTCTCTTCTAAGTACTTTTTAAGTAAGTTACTCTTCAGTTGCAAATTTATTTTCGATTCTCCTAGGATCACTATGTCGTCTGCATACAGTAAAAGGTGTATAGTTCCATAATTCTCAAGATTTATGCCTGGCAATTCTGATTCATCGAACAGGGGTACCAGATCGTTTAGGAAGAGAATGAATAAATGAGGTGACAACGGCTCCCCCTGCAATACTCCCGCTTGTATTTTGATAGCCTCCGTGAAGGAACCCCGCCATCTGACTGTTGCCGTCATTTAGGTATAATAGATCTTAATTAGTTTAATAAATCGACAGCTCAGACCATTTAATGCTATTTTTTTTCTAAAGTAGATGGTGCGGCACAGTATCAAAGGCCTTCCTTAGGTCAATGAAGAAGGCATATAACTTTCCCCTTCTACGGCTAAGGGTCATTTGAATTAATGATACGAGCGTGAAAATGTGGTCCTGACAAGAGTAGCCTTTTCTAAAACCAGCCTGATTTTCTGCCAAAATTGACTTTCTCTCCATCCAATCATTCAATCTTGTCTTCAAGATAGATGTAAATAATTACGATAGGTTAGAATTCCGGGATATTCCTCTGTAATTTGACGGGTTGTCCGGATCTCCATTTTTAAATATTGGGTGGATTATCGTTTTTGTCCATTGTTGTGGAACTTGGGATGTCCCTAAGATTTTATTAAATAAGTTCCTGAGATAAATTGTTTGTTCTTCTAATAAATATTTAATCGCTTCGTTAGGAATTTCATCAAGTCCTGTAGCCTTATTTTTACCCAATTTGGAAATTTCCGTGGTGACCTCAGTTAGAGATATTTCACAATCTAATTCGGGGTCAATGTCCAATATCTCAAGTGGTAGCTGTACAACTTTTGTTAAATTTGAACAAAGTAACTCCCGATAGAAGACATGCCAGTCTGCAATAGAAATCTCCCCTTGTAGGTTATTCCTATATTTAAGTGAATTAATAGTTTTCCAAAATTGGGAAGGATCTTTTACATTACTGAGGATAACTTGAATTTTGCCAGTATATTCCCTTTTTTTGAGATTTAGGATAGCTGAATATTTCTTCTTACTCGACAGGTATGCAATTTTATCGGCCGAGATATTATGTTTTACGTATAATTTAAGATTTTGTTTCATTTCCTTTTTAGCCAAATAACAGTCTTTGTCGAACCATGGCTTAGATTTTATATTTTTTGTTTTTGCCTCCATCCGTGTCCCCGAGCGTAACATTGCTGTTTGAATTAAACCAGTAAAATCCTCAGCCGGAATATCAATTGTGGAGTCAGCTGGATGTTCGGGAGTTAGTTCTTTTAAAGTTTCTATATATGTTGGGATTTTATCTACTGACCAGGAAAATTTAACCTTGGCACTAGGCTCCATGTAACAATTTTCAGTTTTATTATTTGGGCCGATAAACATTAAAATTATTGGTAAGTGATCCGAATATGGCATACAACCAATTTCAAAATCTGCTATGTGTTCAAGCACCGCAGGTGAGACAATCGCCAGATCTAACACAGAAGAGCCTCTTTGGAGATGAATGTAAATTTACCACTTTTATCATTAATGGATCTACCATTTATTATAGTTAAGTAATTTTTATCAAGAAAGTCAATAAATATTTCCGCTTTGGCAGATTTTGTTAGATCACAGGAATTTCGGGTAGTTGAAATAAGGTTTGAAGTATCTATCAAATTATGGTAACCCCCCAGATTGCCAATACGGACATTCAGGTCGCCGACCAGTATTATTTCAAGCCCGTTATATATCTTATTTTCCATCAAATGAAATAGTCGTCCAAGGTTTGTAGCATGTGTATCGTTTGGGGGTAGATATACGAATATTACACAGATCGCTAGTGAGTCATTGTCTAAATTTGGATTGAGTGTGACTGCAATCCAAGAGGTTTCGATTTCAACATTGTCAATTTGGGGCTGTAGTTTTTTATTTATGCCAAGAATTATACCTCCGGAGCTTCTCCCTTTATCTGTTGACTTTACAGCAGGTGATTGATACATTCCGAAGTTCGCCAGGTTCAAGTCGATATTGAAGTGGCACCAAGTTTCTGTAAGCGCGAACATCTCAAATTGTTTCAAATATTCGAACAGTGGAAAGAGAGAATTTATCCTAAAAAAGCCGTTTATATTCCAATACATGAATCGTTCGTTTTTAGCTATGTCAACCATTGGTTTTATTTTTTCGATCTTAATTTTATTATGTTTCAGATTTGTGCCCTTAAGTTGACTTTCTTTAATAGTATGAGTCTTGCTATGTGAAATATGAAGAGTTCCTGTGAGTTGAGTTTTGTTTCTAGATTGTACATCTTCATTTGTATACATTTTATTACCTGAATATTTACATCTATTTACAGAGATCCGCGGGTGTGCCTCTAGCTATATTGGTTCTCCTTTGGCATTCACCACCTGTCCCTCCACTACCATGTAGTTGATGCCGTTTAGGAGAAGTTTATTATCCCTCAACTTCGATCCTATACCTTTCTTGTAAAGTTCCTTTCTCTTTTCTATCAAATTTTTTCTCTGCTCTCTAATCTGGGGGCTGTAATCCCTGCTCATAAAAATATTGAGTATTCGAAGTTTGGATGAGTTCTTTAGGATACTTATTCTGAACTCGTGATCAGGAACTTCAATCAGAATAGGCGACTTTGGTCCCCTGCCCAGGCGATGACTTTCGGCAATTACCACATCATCAGTAATCTGCATATCTTCCGCCATTAACTTCTTGACCTTTTGTAGCAGCAGTTCCCGACTGTCAGTCTCTGCTGATTCGATGCCATATATTATTAAGTTGTTTTCTCGGGCTCGTCTCTCCAAAGCCTCCGCGCGTTCTTCCAGATTCCTTATTTTTAGGGTATTGTGAGAA